GAAGAGAAGAAGTATGAGAGCCGAGGCTATCATCAAGCCAGCGAAATTGCTGGCGAATCCCGTCTCGAGTGTGAGACGGGAAGCGGTGCCTTAATCGTACATAATCCGCTCGTGAGACACACTCAGAGCGCTTACAACGATCATAGTAGCTTTGTTGATACGAGAATTCTGAGTTCATCTCAATCATATGTCTGCAGCCCACGTCTTCATAATATTGTTGAGTCAGTGATTTGCTCTGCAGCCTAACATCTTTACCCAATTTGCATAGCTGAATTCGTTGAGAAGTTGCGCATTTGCAAGAGAATTCGTTTTTCGTTCCAATTTGATACTGACGTCATGCTGTTCATAGAGTTCAAAATTTCAACCATATTTCTTCCTGCAAGCGCTTGTTTTATTCACTATCTATCACACAATGGGCATGCCATAGTCCAGAGTCAGTGTTTTCATTGGCGCCATTATATCCTTTCGCAGAGACAATGGCAATATCATGGCTCAATTGTACATTAGAAAAAGCTGTCATTCAAAGCTTACATAATCCAAGCATGGGCGTTTTTGAAAGTAAGCTGAGCTCAGTGGTCAGTTTCCGGAAATTTCTCGAAATTTAAAGAGACAAATTGGTCCTCCAAGTGCCCAGAAGAATCTCATTTGTGGTAGATGCTTTGAAAGTGCATTCCTCGCTTTTGAAGAGTTTCCAGAAATAGAAAGGCTTACCTGCTGGAGAGCATCACTGAAGATGCTTTTTCAAAGCAAAAGAGAATATTTTTTCTTGTCAGAGTGTTTCATTGTCTTAGTTCTATTGACTCTTTTGCTAGTGATGTAACTCGCATCTTACTTACTCTACTTTATGAGACGTTTAATCCTTCAACAATCGTGAAGCGCAGTCAGAAATCCGGGGATTTTGCAACATTTATGTTTTTTCCTAAACCGTTGCAGATTCCTTCCACTTAACAATACATAAATTTTGACATCCTTGCCAACATCAGTATCATTCGAAAAAGCATATGTCTGAAATGACGCGAAATCTCATAAATCTCTGCTAATCTCTGCTAAAAAGGTCGTGAGAATTGTTGTCGTTAGGGGGTGAAAAATGCTATTTTGGACAGAAAATTCGTGCTCTGTCAGGTATGTCTAATTTTATTTTGCTGGCCTGCTAGATAGAAATTTCCACGCTCACTATACCTTGCTAGAAGATCTGAATGTATGTAGATGGATTTCCAAAAATGATTGTAAAGGCATGGAACTCGACAACGTTCCTGCTTTTATGATTGGTACAGTAGGTACTATCTGACTGAAAAAATTCCGGCTTGAAATTTTTATCTACTGTCGATAAGAACGTTTGAAATTTGAAGGAAAATTCAGAAATTACTTGACTTAACTGCCGGTACAGGTTTGTGATATCTATTTTTTGTGACTAACTCAAGACCAATCCTTCCATAAGGAAGCCCTTTCTCAAAGCGGGACTTTAGTCTATGCATTCTGTGGTCGACGTCCGTCCTTTTGCGAAGACGTTATGGAATTTTGCGCTGCCTAAATCACTCGGCAAGGAAGTGAATCTACCAGGAAATAGTCTCATCGTCCTTTGGATTTACTGATGGGTAGTTACTACTTGGCGCCGTAAAATCCCTAGATACGTCGCAGTTATTGATAACTTAATTAAAGATTAGTGCTCGATTACTGGGCTCGCTGTGCACTCGTGATCATCGCAGGAACTTTTTGTCCCCAGATTATGAATTCTGTGGATGATGTCAACTTTCTATAACAAATCTAAAGGAAGCCTATGCGCTAAGCGTAATCGAATTTTCCGTTGCTCATTGTTGTGTATGTGTTTTTATCTAGCACTGCTAAAAATACGAGGAAAGAAAAGCTTCGTTGTTGCAGAAGAGTTGCATTATTTGCGCGAACCCTGTAATTTCTGGTAAAAGCTCACAGAAATATCATGCAAATTCTGATCATCCTAAATGCTTTTTTTCTAATTGTATGCAATACACATGTAGTACGAGCTTACTTCTCAAGCTGAAAATCTTATGTGATTTCCCTTTTTCCAGTGAAATTAATGATATTTGAATACAAACGAGGTTATTTTCGATTTTTTGAGAATGGTGCAGAAGAAGTATCCGTTCAAACTAAAACCTATTCTGGGCCGTGAGAAGGATCAGCAAATGTCAAAGCAGACAGCTGCGAATTTTGCAAAAAAATATATTTGTGTAAGGTTTGAATAAAGATCTTTTTGTCTTGCCATTCCTGCTTGGAAAAAAAAGAAGAAGGTGCGTCTTGTGCTTGTGAAATTGGGGTAATTTACTTGTGTTCAAAATGTTCAGTTTTCGAATTTTTCTTCAACATCTTAAATCTAAAGCTTCATTTGAACTTTCACGCTTTGACAATTCTCGGATCTCAAGTTCATTTTATCATCATCAGTGTCTTCACAACCATGAACTCATGACCGAAGTTGAACTTTTCTGGTCAAATCGGCAAATTTCATCTTGCTGGCGAATCATCAACACTTCGTTTGCGTTCTATTCATGCGCTTGGCAGCGAGATGTCAAAATACTTTCCTAACCGCGTTTAGCTTCATCGAGAAAGGCTTCGATGGCTTCTTCCGCCAGCGCTTGCTCAACTCAACAAGTTTGAGTGTTCTCCGTTGCTTCAAGGGCTCTTATATAATTGGTTGGTAAGAGAAAGCCTTCTGCAAGTGCAGTTTTTGATTTTTCGAGGGTGCTGTTACCGCTTTGGGTCCAATCTTTCATGTATAAAAATGAGTTCGGTGTAATTTCAGCTTGATTATAGTCAGTTTTTCGCTGAAATCTTTTACGGGCAATTTCTTCTGACTATTTATTACACGGATTTTCTCTCCACACGTTCACGTTTGACCAGACTAGGTCTATCTCGGTTTTGTTTTTCTTCCCATCAAGGGCCTTCGATCCTATTTCAAAATGCATGCTATGTCTGCTGAATGAATGTCGCGATAGCCTGTATTATTTCGTCAAGTAGTATCAACCGTAATGTCGCTGATTTTTTTATACACTACTATAGCGCAAGTGACGATTAAAGTGTCTTACCAGATTTTTTACTAATCCATTTGATTATGAAAAGCGACTGGCTACAATTTTTAGGAAGGTTGAACATGACGGTGATCTGTCACCATGAAAGTTACTTTTTCTCTTCAAAATACTCCTGTTACCTTGTATGATCCATAATATCCTTTTGTGTCTCTCGCTCTCGTTAATATTCGAACAACTCAATCATTTTTCTGCTGTAATAGCTATAGTTTATGACAGCAAATGGTTTCTTTGCATGTGAAATGATCCCTTAATTGAGTATGTTTTGTTTTTAAGTTCCGCAAAAAATAAGCTTTATTAATTTGAGGAAATGCTCGTAGAAGCTCTTAAGTGCTGACTTCCAACTGGCTGCACAAATTGGGTTAGACTATAGAGGGGTGTTGGACGACGTAGGATTGAAGAAATTATGAGGCAGGAGTGATAGGTAGGGTATTCCGTTCAAGTTAAGTAGGGCATTTTCTGGCTATCTTTTAATCTTTTGTCAGGTTTTTAAGAGGGAGAGAGTGTGAGATTTTGCAGTATCCTTTCATATGTTTGATATCCCCGCAACAATTTTCATTTTTCGAAAATCGGTGTGACATGGCCATATCAGCTCCCGCTCCCCTTGGACAAATTTCGCACGGTGGTTTTAAACTCACTATCTCGTAGCTACCGTAATAAGATACCACCTTAAAAACTGAGCTTACGTCAGAGCGCGATTGTATTCCTAAACCAACTTCAGTTTTCTAAGAGTTTGACGTTTAATAGCATGGTTCGAAATGTTCAAAAAGTCACCTTGTGGAATCATCGTCCACTCAATTGAACTACTTTTACCTCTCTTACAAACCCAACGTTGGAGACCGGCAAAAATTCTAGTATTGTTCATGTAATCGTATAACAGCGAGCGTGAAGAATACAAAGCCCATCCCCACCATTCTGCTTCCTTGCATCTAAACCTTAGCCACCTTGTTTCATTTTTCAATCAAGTTTCCGTTACAATTCTGGCTACAAAATTTTTCCTCTCGCCTTACATGACGTCTTCGCCACGCCTGCTTAGAGATTGTCCACTCTTCCAGAACTCTCACCTACTGAAGCTTTGTTTGTGTGCTCTGAAGCTATGGTTGTCTCATCTGCTACATTAGATCTAGTTAGTCTTACAATCAGCTCTGTTGCCTCAAGCGCCACTCAACCATCACATAAATATAACACCAGTCTCGCAACACCTCAGCGAACTAGGAAATATTTCTTAACGGTTGGGTGTTGCGAGATCTTGATTCTAGATCTTGATCTTGATTCAAATATAAGATGATAGGAAATCTAATAGACGCACTCGTGAATGATTTTTGGATTGGTTGTTGACTTCTTCTTTTCTCCGACTGTTTAAATTTAACTTTGAAAACAGCAATGTTCGTTTACAGAGTAAAGTTTGTACTTTTTGTTTGAGAATCATCCGCTTAGTTTCTCCCTCTGATCGCCTAACAAAGCCATCTGACCTTACCAGCTTAACATTGTTTTATAGTTACAATTCGTTATTTCATATACACTGTTCTTTCATTATATTTTTTATGAAATTCAAATCAAATTCAAATTCACCAAATTCTTTGGAAAAGTGTTACCTTTTGAATTGTTGCGAGAGGATACATTGCATCATTTTGTGCCATCCATTGCAATCTGATACCCAAAAGCAAACATGGGAACTTCGGAATGCGTAAACTCTTCGGTTTGCCATTTCGATTCACGCAAAAAGCCAAACTTCAAAAGGAGTGTAGAGATAGTCTGTATTTGAAATTTAATTCCATACAATTTTTTTACCAAGAGAATTGTACGTTTATCTGGCATGACTTTTCCTTTGAGAATTCTTTGCTCTATTTCTCTACTTCACAAAGCACATTTCTCCCTTGGTTCATAATTTTCTAGGCTTTTTCGAGGGCCTGATAAATCATTAGTTACAATATTTTTTTACAGACTATTACGTCATTTTAATTATACGGTGAGCAAAGGTGACGACACTTTGCTTATGAACGAAAATGCAGTGGATGAGATATGCAAAGATGTCCCAGCTGATGTTCAGGTTGGTTAAACAAAATAAAAATTGCGAAAAGGTAGCTCATAGATTCTTCTTTAAATCCTCGAAGTGGTAGTTTCTAGCTTTTTGATTTGATGAGTTGTGAAATTTTATGAAACATAGACTCTTATCAGTTGAGAACCATCAAAGTAGATATTTTTTCTCTTTCTTTGAACTTTGAGCGCTTATCAGTGATCGCAGTAGGTCGTTACCAATTAGACTCAAGTAATCTTCAGTAGTTACACTTCTCTCGCTCGTTAGTGTAATTGCGGAAGCAATCACGTCCTTTTAGGTTGCACTCCGACGTGCCAGTCAGGTATCTAAAGCGATGCTGATTTCCCAAGGGAGGAAGATAATACATGAGTGAGTTGAGCTGTCATGGCTGACTCCAAAGATATGAAAGGACAAGCCCAACCTAGATTTTTTTTGCAGAGATCTTTCGAATGGCTCAGAACGATTCCCAGTTCGGGTTGTGAACGATGTGGACACTACGAGAATGATAAACTTCATATATACAACTAGAATAGTAGATCGTAATGGAGTACTGGCAGCTAGAAGAAACACGGTGGTTACTGTAAGTTTATTGGTTTTAGTTTTTGGTTTGGGTAAACTAGTCAATTGGTCAGCGTATTTCTCGCCATTATAACCTAAGGGTATGCCCGATACTATCGACTGTTTGCATCGGTAGAAGTAACCGTAATGCTACAGTAATCGTTGTCCCTTACTTTGCTTCGATTGATCATGTAGCACACTTATTATCGGCACATTTATTATCGCAGTTTAGAAAGCATGAAAGAAGAAGCTACAGATTTTTCGTATTTTCTCATGAAGTGTAAAGGAAACAGCTCCACCTCCGTAATAATTCTTCGATCTTTTCGGTGGCAGGAATAAGTAATCAAATAAATCTTTGCTATCAATCCGTTGTTGCTAGTATCTGGAATTTTCAAAATTCAATGATATTCCAAAGATGAATCGAAACATTTCAGTTTTGCTGCTGCAGTGGGGTGTGTTCTACCGGCTGTGAATGCAGTAGTGGAATTTACGATGAATATGGTGGGTTGTGCCAAAACTATCTCAAAGACACTACCCAGTCAAATTTTGAAGGAGGTAAGATTTTGATGCGGTACAATTGTGGGCCTCTCAATCAACTAACTGTGTAAGTCTTGCTGCAGAAGAGAATCCTGAAAAAAAAAGTTTGCTCCAGAATATAGTTGCGACAGACAGCTCCGTCTCCACAGACCAGGAAATTTTGAAACCTGGCTCACAAGATAAAAGTGGATTTTCGACATTTGTGGGTTTTCTGAAGCAAATTAATCCGCACCGCCGTTGATGAGCAAAGCTGTTCACACAGCTTAATTTTTTCATAGCGATTTCTTCGCTAAAAATTGACCCTCTGGTGAAAACTGAGCAGTCATTTGATTGAGCAGCCGCTACTTCCGCATCGAGTCCTTTCCCTGGATTTTTGGTGGACGGTGCCTTTTGAAAAGTTGTGAGTAAGATATATACCCTTTGATTCAACTGGCTTGGCGGTTGAAAGGTGGGGCTTCATGACCTAATTAAGGCTAGATAATGACCAGAGAGCACGCACGCGAAAAAGACGCAGACTGCGTCGCGGCTGCGAGCAGCTTTATTAGGTCACAAAGCCCCGCCTTCCAGCCGCCAAGCTAGTTGAATCAAAGGTTATGCCTGGCTTTTGAAACAAGAAGTTGGTTGGAGAGGAGCTCTGAGAAAAGTAAAAGTATCTTCGAACCTGACTATTTTGAAGTGTTCTTGTCTTTACATCTGGGCCCACTCCTCAAACAAAGTGCATTGTATACGTCTCTTCTGCGTGACATATGAGTATGAACATTTTTTAGGTTTTGCTCGTGAATCTTCGCTAGAATGGCCATTTGTGGAGTGCAGCGCAGCGTGCACGTGCAGTCTTCAGTGCGGTAATCGAGTCGCGCAGAAAGGCGCCACTTATCCTATTGAGGTTTCGCTATAAATCTTTGCGATGAGTTTTCTTGCGCTTATCGTAGTCTGTATAGATATTCCGCACATGTGATGGACGAGGTTGGGCCGTGCGAGCGCTGAGAAATATCCGAAAAGGAGCGTTCATAGGTGAATACACGGGGGAATTGCTCAGCGATGCAGAAACGGCCAGACCGGAACGAACTGACACTTACTTTTTCGAGACACGAGTGGTGAGTGCTCGTCCAGCTTGGGCTAGGTATTTTGCTAAAACAACGCTTTTCAGGGCGAGCGATTGTTTACAGTAGATGCACGCCTATATGGAAATTTCACACGTTTTATAAATCATAGCTGCCGACCGAATGCTACGGTAAATATTCCTTTTCTCAAAAAAAACTTTTACAGACAACTCTCTTTCTTATTGGTCAGTCGCTGGGGGCGTGGCTACTGCGCATGATTGGCTAATTGTGATAAAAAGCTGCAAAGCATAGAACAATTTACGGAAATGGTTTCTCAGAATTTGATGATAACATTCTGTGGCAGAGTGCTCTTCGAGTTTATTAAACAACTAGCTGGCTTACCCGGCTCCGCCCGGCCCTGTCAAAAACGATAAAAGTTCCATTTCTATCCCTGTACACTTTTACCTGTGCACACTTCTGCATGCAATTCCCTATTCCCGCTGTGTGAGTAATCAGTATGCTCACCTACCTTCCTCACCAACCCCCCAGCCCCGTAGCTCAAACTTTGCACAAAAAAAACAATAAAATCGATAAAAGTAAGGATAATTCTAAAAACTGATGGCGTTATTCGGCTATCCGGGCCCCAAAATGTTTTTGTGACGGATCTTGCTCAAACTCGGTATATGGGGGTTATTTGAGCCGCTGATGACAATATCATAGTCATCGCGTGGCAGCGGGTAAAAATCATAAACCTGCCTGAAACCTTGGCAGGGAATTACCTAAAGTGCTGTTCAAAAAATATCGTGCTCAATCCCCGCGATAAAGGCAATTCGTGTGGTATAAAAGTTTCCCACGACCGTAATGCTTTCCTAGGACCACTGCCGCGCGCGATACATCCTTCGGCGACTTTTGCCTAAGCAGAAATAGGGGGAGGGAGATTTGTCGCGTGCGTTACACGTTGGGACACGTTATCAGGATGGCGCTGGAGACCGCCATGCAAAACGACCGTTTTCCCATTTCATGAATATTTGGGATCTAAATTGGCCCTGTCCATTCAAATCCTGCAACTCACACAACTTCACTAATGCGTTATGACAGCGAGCAAGTTTCATATTCATAAGTAGTATACTTGTGAACCGTTACAGGTAAGGTTTTGAGCAAATCTGGAACTTCGACCCATCTACACCCACCGCAACCCAACAAAATGCAGCATCCTGCGAAATCAACATGATATTTATGTTCAGCGCGCTAAATGACCACCCTATACGAAGTTTGGAGCAAATCTATGTTTTCGACCCCGCACCGTATATAACCACCCTAACTCTATGAAGCCCAATATGCAGAGGGAGTATGAAATTCGTAATCAGCATGTCGAATAAGTTCTCTGGACCGGACTCCAGCCGAATTCATGATTTTGACTTCCTACCGTACACCTATCGTAACCACATGGGGAGACTTTCTGCGACGAAAGTGTGATATCTGTAATCAGCATGTAAGATAACCCTTATACACGAATCTGAGCAAGCTCTACGACAAAAAATTTTTTGGGGCCCGGATAGCCGAATAGCGCCAAACTAATATTGCACTCGTAATCAGCATGCTCGATTACCCCCCTGTGCCAACTCCCAGCCCCGTAGCTCGAATTTTGCAAAAAATCGATAAAATCGACAAAAATAATGGACGATTTCAAAAACTAATATTGTATTCGGAATCCCCATGCTCGATTACCCCCCCCCCCCCTGTGCAAACTCCCAGCCCCGTAGCTCAAACTTTGCAAAAAATCGATAAATCGATAAAAGTAATCGATAATCCTGGAAACTAATATTGTATTCGGAATTCCCATGCTCGATTACCCCCCTATGCCAACTCCCAGCCCCGTAGGTGAACTCTGCAAAAAAATCGATAAAAATCGATAAAATCGATATCGATCGATGACGAAAAGTAGCCTATGGCACCCGCCGGGGCCCGAAGTGTATGTGTGCCAAGTTTGGTCCGGATCGGTTCAGAAATGGAATTTTCTATTCGGAACATACGTACATACATACAGACATACAGACAGACAAACAGACATTCAGCTTTATATATAAGATATAATAAAAATTTCAAAGGTTTTGTTTCACCTTTTAATCTTTTTTTAGGTTGGAATGGTTGTTTGGGAAGCACAGTTGGAACAACTCAATCACATATGCATTTACGCTACGGAAAATATACCAAAGGGTAAAGAAATTACCATATCCTATGGACAGTCGTGGTGGGACGCCAAAGTATGTTTGGAAGCCTTCTTACCTTTATTTGGCATAAAAATTATTGTTGCTTCACGTCCTAATTGTCGTTTAACATTGTACATTTTTTTTCAGCTGCCTCAGTTTTCTTGCCGCTGTGGTCATCCAAACTGCGAATATTCCGAAGATCGACGAAAAACCGAACTGCAGCGATTGGCGGCTGAGATGACAGCCGATCTTCAAGCTAGATCTGCTTCAGCCGTGTCAATTTCGAGCAGCGACGATAGCGATGAAAAACGCTCTGTTTGACATCTTTCCTTATCTTGCAAGCAATACTTGTTCCTAATTGTCACATTTTCACTTTCTGGATAAGTAATAATTTGGTCGGGTAATGAATATAAGTTCTTCTGTTTACCAAACTTAAGTTGAAGCAATTAAATAATGACACTTGCTCTTTACCGCTCCCAAAAAAGTATGCAGTATGCAATAAAGATTTTAATAGGTGAACAAAGCAGATTGGCATTATATAATTTCGTTTGTTCAAGCGTTTTTTTTCTTCTTGATGATTTTCTGTGTTCCGACTTCATTAAGTATGTCCTATAAATGTTCTCTTCAATTTCACTGATCTCTTATGTTACATTTCAAAATAAGATTGTATGTTTTCCTAGCGTTTTCTTCTTCTATGCATCCAAGTATCTTCAACTTTGAAGGTTCATGAGTTGCATGTTCATGTTGTTATAACTCATTATCCTGATTTGTTAACAAAAATTCCTTATCAGTCTTTATGGCATTTTTTGGATTGTTTCTTCAAGATTTTATATTGTTTAAGTGCGGGTAATAAAGAGATTATGCGCAGATGAAAAAGAACCACTTTTTGGCTTGTATCGCTATCATATTATTGTTCAAAGCATGAAGCGATAGTAGAATCAGGAATGGTTTAGGCAAGGATCAAACTGAAGTTTCTAAAGTGTACCCAAGCGCAAAAATCACAACAAAGGTCTAACGCTTAGGTAAGGTCGAATGCTATCTTTGTCTGCATGACTGCATGATATATGGTTATTTCTTTGATTATCTTGATGTATGCTGGCAGCTTCAGCGAATATTTCTGTGTATGCTTACATTTTTCTCAAAAGAACAGGACAAACAATAAATTTGAAAGTGAATGTGGAAAGAAACAATCTGTAATCATCGTGTTATAGAACTCCTACCACACTTTGCATATCTAACATTCAAAATATCCATTATCTTTACCCAAAGTGAGATGTCAAAAACTTCGAAAAGTGTAGTCTTGTATTTGTATAGTTTGTTGAAAGAGATATTATAAAATGCACGAAGCAAGGAACCGTCCCAATAATGCGAAAGCAACAAGTGGAAAGAGAGCAAGGTTTTCTGGGGTCTTCAAATCTCCACGGATGTTGTAGAGCCCCTATGAAAGACTTACAAGGAAACGATACTCGGTGTCCGTGGCCTTTTGAGATGATATGTATACCATTTCAGTCGTCTTGGAACACTGATTTCGAATCTGACTTCTGTTTCTGCTAATCGCTTCAAAAATGTTATAATGGATCGCGCTGGTTGTGGCTGCCCAGCGATATATGTTCGGAGCGCTAACACAACCGATGCACTGTGGTCTAGTGGTTAGTGCGATAGCCCCCTGATTTGATGCAGTTGCAGGTTCGAATCCTTTTGTGTTTTTCAGTTTTGCGTTGCCTCAATTAACCTTCTTTTGCATCACCGAGCTAAGTGAACGCCTTTACTCTTCGAAAAATGTGAAAATTTGGAAAAAAATAATTACTATTTGCGCTAAATTGTATCCAATGATCATAGCTCAAGTAAATTTTCTTGAACAAGCTTAATTGAGGTAATGCAAAAGTAAAAACACAAAGGAGTTTGAACCTACACCTGCATCAACTTATAAGGCTATTGCACTAACCACTAGACCAAAAAGTGGCCGCGGTACAAGCCGCTCCAATGACCATATTTCCCTTGAGCAGCCAAACTTGGCTCGAAATTCCCCCATAACTTCTTTCAGAGAAACGATTAGCAGAAACGGGAGGCAGATTCGGAATCAGCGTTCGAAGACGAATGTAATGGTATGAGTCACGTTTTGAAAGGCCACGGACATTGAGTATCGTTCCCTTGTTAGCGTAAGCCATGCCCGCAAAAGTGGACCTGCAGTCAGGGCTCGGCACAGGTGGCTTACAAGCAAGCTGGATATCGTTTTTGGGACGAAAAGCAAAGGGGGTTTCGTTTTTGTGAGCGAAGATATACGGAAAATTGACGACGGCGACATTTTTTTTTTAGTCGACGTTTCGTTTTTTGGGGGATTTTCGGGAATTTTTCAGGTTTTTAGAAGAAATTTGGTTCAGGGTCAAAGAGGACTTCGTAAAAATTCCCGAAAGTCAAGGGGGACTTCGTTTTTTCCATTTTCATCTAGCCACCTCGTGCCGAGCCCTGCCTGCAGTACACTAAAACCTTAAAACCAAATTCAACCCTTCCAAATTCTTGGAAATGGAAGCTTTAAAAGTTGCTTATCGCAGTTGCTGTTTTTGCAGGATAGTCAAGCTTTCACTGCTTCAAAATCATAACTGATAATTTTTGAAAACGAGCATCATCAAACAAACGCATCCGTGATTATTGCCAAGGGTTTCAAAGTATTTTCCATTCATCCTCCAAAAAATCTGGGCCTCAAACTTTGTTCTACACTTTAGTAACACCGCGATGATAGTGTACAATATCTAGCGCTGCTGACAATTTTATTGGTAGTCTTTCTCAAAAATGAATCACAAACAAAATATAATATAGGCACATGGACTGTACAAGGAGACCTGAAAGCTCCATTAGGAAAGTTTTGTTTTTTGTTGATGAAACAATCATATGGGCAAAATGACACTGAAAGCAGTGAAGGGGTGGGATACAAAAAATAAAAAAAAATATGGTACATCATACATAGAAATCTCGTTCTTACAATAAAAGCGAAGCACAGTTACTAGATTCACGGTACCCACAGAAAGTGTTTATCACCGGCAGAATGGAAATAAGTGCTGTATGACAATGTCATGACGTATTTCGTTATACATACAAATAGTACAAGATTAAACTGGGTTAAACTTGAGGTGTACAAAAATTAATGAATCGTTTGTATCACTCTGTGAACACTACATCTGCAGTTAGTGAATGTCCTAAGATCAAAAACCGTTCATCGGTTGACTTGCCCAACTCAGCAAATCCGATCCTGGAGAAGAAAGTTATGTGGTCTTCGCAGATCATCGGGATCGCAACGCAAATCCCGGCACAGCCTAAACTCGCCAGAGTTGACTTCGCATAGCAATAGCATACACGGGTGAGCCTCACCATTCATGTACAGGGTACTGGCAGCAGTATGTACAAGCTTCTTTGTTGGTACGGCATCGTACGCATCCATAAGTAGACGCGCATCCATGAAGGCAGGGTATAAGGCAAGAATCTCATCAGGAATGATGGGGAACCATCGATCGATCTCCTCAGCCTGAAGATCAGATGCTATGATTGACAACAATATTCAAGAAGAGCATAAAATGCTAAGGCAATTGCGATGGCGAGCAAGGCCCATGCTTCAGTAAAAGTTTGCTCCAATTCCGTCGCCACGCAATGTGGCAACAGCTAGATGTGCCCGATGCAGTGTTTGTGGAATATATAGTGCGCATAGCCTATAATCACGTTCTGCACTGAAGAAGCAAAATGTAAAGCAGGCGTATGACGAACTGATCAAAGGCACAAGGCCGGAACGGCGACGTAGCCGCCTGCCGATTCAGCCTCGTCTTCAAAAAAGCAGGAAAACGTGGGGAACACCGCGGTAGCTAATGGCAGAGTCGCAACGGCCGTGTCCCAGCATGATTTCCTGCGGTAAGGACAAAGCCGAATTGAAGGGCGGCTATGTCGGAACTTCTGAAGCAATTTGCTTGTCTCAGAAGCGGTATTTTGCAGCCATAGTCGGGCTATGGCTTAAAAAGGACGGCTGTTACAGTAATCTTATGAAAGTGAACTGCTCCTAAATGTGCCCACGGCCTTGTGCGCCGGCACCCAGTAATATGCCCCGAAACGTGCTAGAAAAGTAGTTTCCCCGCCCGAAAACCACTTCTTACCTCTATTTTACCCTCTCCTCGTTCGGTATACTTTGCTTTCAATGACGCAATGTATTCCGGCATCTTCCCGAATAAAGTCCTAGCATTGGGATAGGCAGATACCGCACTTATAATCTAAAACTATAGCGATGATAAACAAAAAAGTGAACAAATAAGTGGATTAGAACCTTGACATCTCCGGACCCTACAACTTCCTGTGCCAAAAAACAGTGTCGAGGATTAGCATCCAAGAAGGGTAAGAAGAATCTGAAGAAATTACTTTCGCGGTTTTTTAGATCAGGTTTGGGGCTTGGGGCTTACCTATCTAGAAATGCCTCTTTCTGCAGCACATATGGGTTGCTTGGTTTTTCAATGTTTGTTATTGCAAGGCTGGCAAGATTATCCTAGAATGAATTCTTGACTAAGTCCATCGCAACAAAAGACAAACCAGATCATCGGCAGTGTATGGACGAATAAGGTAGTTGACAATTGAGAGAGGTAACAGTACTCGATTGCCAAACATATTCAGAAGAGGCCCTTCCGAAGCTATGAGTCTAAAGGTCCAGAGAGTAGCACCACCTTTACTTCCTCATATATAGCAAAAAGGACTATTCAACGAACATGAACACTCCGTAAAATTATACCTAGCACATTCGGAGAGAAATCCTCCATTTATCATCCACGGTTCATCTTCTCGATCGCTAGCCCACGATCGCAACTGTCCATCTAAAAAGTATGACAGTTGGCTGTTCGCATGCTATCAATCATTATCAAATGCGAAGAATGTCCGCCATTAAAGAGAAGAATGTTACTTTCATCAATTTTTGAACAATCTATTTGGAAAAAAATGTAATGACTGAAGTGGTGAAAGAGCACGAACCTGGTCTAGCAGTCAAATATCCTTCATTCATCCATCGCGCTATTCCTAGCAAGATGGCGCAACTACCATGCGCATCCCATATATACGGAATAAGTTCAGACACAAGAGGCTGAACCAAACTCATTGTGAACAGTAAATCAAGTGATGCCAGCAAAAAAAAAAAGAAAAAAACAATGCAAAAGAGCAAGAAATGGTAGTAAACAGCTAATACACTTGCCTTGTTGGGGCAATCCACGATATATCTGAAGAAATTATTTACAATTTGAACACTGTCCTGGAATACTTTCAACCGTCTCCGCCACTCATCTTGAGTTACAGGCAGGGTACTGAATATTCATCGAAATGTGATTAGTAATTTGGCCCGTGTAAGAACCTACTCTTCAGGTGCACCATTCCCACGCATAACTATAGCGTTTGCACAGAGCCACGAAAACTGCTCCAAAAGGTTCATAGCACGCTTGCCGCACTCGAATGGTAGATAGAACATGTCTACTAGCATGGAAATCTCATTCGGGTCAGCGGATCGCAGTCTAAAATGAGAACTTTATTGCAGGAAAAAATGAAAAGAATGAAGAAAGAATGAATACTTATGAAAGCACTTACCCATCCAATTCTGTCATGACCACATCAGCTGAATCGACCGTGCTGTCGTCCACATCGACGATTTCGTCCTGCAAAATCATGATGTGACACGAAGCTACCATTTACTGTACCGAAGATAATACGTCATGCATGTACATGGTGCTCATGTTACTGCTCTTCCTGTTTCACAGGTCCGGTAATCACTGAAAAGACCTCTGGACGAAACAACGTATCTCGCATGGATGACTACAGCCTCACCCAAAGTACGGCAATATTTATAGGTAATGCCATAGTTGCCCGTGATCCGATTTGAACCGGATCAGAATCTGGATTACGGGCAAGTACGACACCATCCTAGCAGGTTAATGCGGAAAGACAATCCCGTTCAAAAAATCGTAACCCCCTGCTATCAAACATTACTTTTTGCACGCTTTAGGAGGTTTGCGAGCTCTCACATCAATCGCTTTCTACTTTGACCATTAAATTTAATATGGATGTCGCAGCAACATGCGCTAATTTTAGAAGAAAGCGCGTCTAAGCGACTCTATGCAATAGTTAACCCAGGGATAAAGACAAATGGACATCATCTCAACAAATCAATTTTAAAAAGATAGGAATAAATAAAGATATTCTAGGTACTGGATGATAAATTCCTTTGCTCTTCCAAGTTACGGCCAGGCAAGATCAAAGGGGTTAATTATAATTCTACATTTGCTAGTGAATACTAGGAGCTGAAGAAAAATATCGGAGACATGATAGTTTACCTCGCGTTCAAATTAATTACTATTAAGTTAATATTGACGCAGATACTCCGGATTGAAAACAGGCCCAAAAGACACCTTTTAATCGAATTTTACAAATCAACAGCCAGATAAAGGTAAGATGTAAGACAAGAATAAAATAAAGGATGAACTTGAACAACCTTTTTTGATGCAGTCGCTGACGTTTCCATAGGCTCGCCATAGTCAGCGGTCAGAGAGTTCACTGTAGGCTCATCGTCGATTGGCTGAAACTTCGGCTAAAACTATGTGATTAGTGGCTATTATTGGAGGCAACTAATATCGTTACAACGCTAACCGATGGTATGACAACAGACTTCAGCATATCCTCCAGCTGTGTTGATGAATCTTGAGTAGGCATCTCTGAAAATTGTAAAAAATTTGAATAAAATCTTGAGAGCAATCTTCTTTTTTGAATTTTCTCTCCTTTCAACTTTCTTTTTCTTTGAATTAAACTGTTTCCTATTTTTTCTAACGAAAGAGTGACCTTACAAGCTGTGGCCCTTTTTTCAATCAAATGATGGTGATAAAAGACTAAGAATGCGAGACCTGATTCGCTCATTCCACAAGTGTGAAAATACATCTAAAGTAGGTGCCAAATGGATGCTGACACCTATCAAAATTATTTCATATTTATTTGGAGAGATGCGTTTTTGATCAGGAAATATCGTAACACGGTTTGGGGTCTAGCAAAGCAAAATTTAGTATACTGCATAAACGAGGAAGAAAAATCATAATATCGAACGTAAGAGAACCAGATAAAACTGACGGTCATTAGTTGGTTTTGCGTCGTTAGCACTGTCTTGAGAATCTTTATTGACATCAGGCCGAGGTATCCTGAATGTACGAATAAAGAAAGAACTGATGGCAGGGCAAACATGCAACTCACGGTGGTACAGTTCTGTTGCTGGCGCAGTTGAACTCATCAGCCCAAAGCTTTATGGCCTTTTTCAATGAGTGCTTGGGATTGTAGATTCGAGGTGAAAATGATGTATTGGAGCTATCCGTAGATCCACTCTCTTGGTCATCATTCGCATCTATAATTGCCCACATATGCAAGAGAGAGTGCGAGGGCGCAAGCGAAGGCTTTCAAGCTCATATTCGAACTTGTGCACACAAAATATCGAGTACAAAATATATTTTCGACTTATACGGACTTAGAAATGCTGCATTTTCATTAATCAAGCGGGATCCAACATAAAAAAGATTTAATAAAACCGCTCTTGCCTTGGCAAAAGTTCACGTGAAGATATCATGAACGAGTGAGCTAAAAGCGCACTGACAAAGTAAACTGGCAAGTTGCCAGGAAAAGCTGATAACAAATAAGACAAGAAGAAAAAGAATGTAAACATACCATTGAATGGCACACCCTTCTCACTGGCAACCCAGTCAGCATAGGTATGCAGCGGAACAAAATTCAGCTCATATTTACAGCTTGGATTCATCAATAATCCGGCAAGCTCTTTTTTGAGCGCAACAGGTCGACCTTGAAAAAGCACTTTACACTCATGATTAAAACCATTTTACTGATGTGATGTACTTTACAATGAACGCTGACGTGCTATTTCCGTTTATTTTACGAAACGCAAAAACAATCGTAATATATTATACTTTAAAATTTGTAAGTGTACTTTGATTCGCCTAATAGCCACTCAAGGTATCGAAAAATTGTATTCATAAGAGTGCTGATGACAACGTAGCGCTCACCTGAAAATTCACCCATAAAGACACGTTTTTGATCGTAGTCATTGGCATGTAGGTTATCCCAGATTGTAGGTTTTCTACCAATGACTTTTGCTACGTTCCGTGCATGTTCTACAGTAATTCGGCGAGATATAACACGAGGACCTGAAGATAAGATAACGATGCCGAAAAACTGTACCACGTAGTAGATACACGAAGCAAATTAGGAATATTTCCTCGAACAGATGTCTGATAAGAGACTGAAGACAGAAGAACTTACCTGTCCACAAAATATGTACATCTTTAACCAAATCTCTTCCTAGCGTAAGAAGATATTCGGATTGTTCCAGACATGGAATTGCGCGACTTTCGCAATATTCTGGAAGAAGTGAGGATAAGTATGGTCAGAGCAGACCAGATATATAACATTTGTGTTATTGCACAAACTACTCATTGATGTCAAAAATAGGCTGGATTGAAAAAGAGAATAGACTGCGGGTGTAGGTTATACAGGAAACGTTCATCGGAGAAAAAATTGAAGCAGACTTTCACTCAAGAGCCAAACAGATATTACGAGCTTACATCTGTAAGGACCCTTGCACAAAAAATACGACTTTACTAAGGAAAAAATTTTTTCATGCGGTAGAGGTGGCTATCCAAAGCGAGAGTGAAAATCACACTTACCAGTAGGACAGAAGAAGAACTGCGGTCGGCCCAAGTACTCGTAAACTTCGTTGGTTACGGCGACCTTAAAAAAAGGGACCTGGTCAAGAGTTCAGCACAAATGGCCACAGAATTCATGGGAGCTTCAACAAGGAGTTTATAGCGACAAATTATTCTTCAGAAACAAACCTGAGCAGCAACAAAACTACTAAAACTTTGCCGATCTGTTTCACTCATCTCACATTCGATATCATCGAAAAGAAGAGCGAAAGATTCACATCCGAGCATTCGAACCTTAAAACCAAAAATACAAATAGCAAAGCTTTGAAAAGACAAAATCACTGATGTAAAAAAACTGATTATAAGCACTCACCTGATCAAGCTTGCTCTTAATGCAGATTCGCTCTTCAGTACTCGAATACTCGATATCGATGCCCGGAGAAAGTGAATAGACAAACGTTACATTGTTGGCCTTTGCCGACTCAATGAGACTTTTGAGGATTGCTAAAAGCAAACGAAAGTGGAAAATGAGAGGAAACATGAAAACGAAATATCGCGGTTTCCTACCTGCTTCCTCATCATTATATGGTATTCGCCATTGTGGCCGATGTTTAAGGTCGTCCTTAGGAGCATAAACGTAAGTATTGAGACCAAGATTACTGAGTCTTGCGAATAAGTGTTTTCGTTGCTCAAGGGTCCAAGGCCTGCCATAGAAGCCTAGAATTGTGATGTCCAAAGAATAGAAGCAAACTGGAGAGCTAATATTGTGCAAATGTTCAATAATACATAGGAGAGCAAGTTTGAATCAGCCCTTCCCCGATTGAGGCGCTCTTATGACGGCACCACACTTGTCCGTTTCATCCACTTCGCTATTGGTGATCAGTGATTTGCCAATAGGAGTTAGATGAAGTGAATGAAGCGGATAAGTCTGGTTATCCGCCCCGGCAGAGGAGACTACTCAGCTTCTACACTTATTGATGCAATAAGAAGTAGAGACAAACGAGTTGTGGTTTTTTGATTAACAGCACTCAGTCATGTATTACGAAAAAGGTCGCAGCATACTACAATCAAATATCAAGTTGAGCAAAGTGTAAGAATATCTTGAAAAAAATGTCGACTAATGAACATAAACCAAACTACAAACACGACACAAGAAAACTGAGCAAAGAAAATTACCTTCGACCACTCCGCATACAAAATGTGGCTGATCTTCTTCAGCAGGATCTCTGCAACAAAAAGGTATAAGTTTATCGTTACCAAGTTTGAACACTGTGATAACAAAGCTCTGTATAATGGATATTGGTGGATGAATGAACCTATTTGACTAATAACACAAACTAAGACTGTCTCAGTATGAGTGTCAAAGCTTCGACGGTTTGGGTTGTCGCGACCGCCTCGCTCAGATCTATCGCCGCGTCCGCGTTAGGCCTCGGGCAGAGTTCACGCGATTTGATTGTCACGACTGATCACGACAGACAATTGTAACAATATCATTGCATGCTGATCTTTCCATATCGGTTGTGATAGTTTTCCAACACGACTAATCGTGACTAGCTATCACAACTGAAATACAAGAAGATCAGCAAGCAATGAAATCGTAACACTTGTTTTGTAGCGATTGAATCGCGACGATCGAGTCGCGTGAACTCTGCCCGAGGCCTTACGCAGCAGTTCGAGGGTTTTAGTCCGAGTAAAGGGGATTAAATGTAAACAGAAAGTTTTCTAATTACCTGCAATTATGTTGAGATCTGCCATTCTGGTCAACATCGGGCTGTGATCCAGATTGCATGTTGATTTTTGTGAATTATACGATATCACGGAAAGCAACTGATAGCATAGTTAGCAGTACCAAGTAGTAATTCAAATGCTTAGACTGCCGCTTATTCAGGCAGAAACAATTTTAAGGCTGACGACAACTCTTCTCATGAAGAAATCGTGGGGGGTGTGGGAGGCAGGCAGAGCGACGAGAGTGCGCTCTCGCTCTCACTCTCTCGCTCCCTGCCATGCAACCCCCGGAATTAATTGGACCACCCGGCGTTCAGCAACTGGCCTCTCTAGAAATCGATGCTCATTTTTTGTTGTAAAGTGAAAAACACTGACCAGAGAACGCTGAAGTGCACACTTGATTTCCACTGCAAAAAGTCCTCTTTTTCCCGCAAATTTTGCGCTTTCATTCTCCACTCACATTTCAACCATTAACACATCTTCTGGGAAGGGGGGGGGGCTCGAGTACGCTTTGTACACATTGAACAAGCTTGATTGTGAATTTAACAAGTCTGTACATGTGAACCACAAATCTATGACTATTTCTTACTTGGAACTAGTGAGAACATGTTCAAGCTTGTTAAGACGATGGTGCAAAGCGGTTTCGAGTCCCTTAGTCGCAGAACCGGTGTTTACATCTGCTTGAATTGTCACCAGAGTCTCTATGCTTTGAACTTTTCAATGTTACTCCTCCTTCCACTTTTTTCGGCAGGCTTATCACTTGTCTGCATAATTGCGTCTCGCACATTTCCATTCTACACCATTAGGGATCCGTCATACTTCGCCGAAAAAAGCCCAAAAGCGCCCCAAAAAGCCCAAAAGAGCTCAGAAAACCCCAAAAAACCCCGAAAGCGCCAGAAAGGGCCGGAACTCAGACGAACTTTTGATAGAATTGACATTATTTTGATGTGCAGACGACAGAAAATGAACCAAAAAGACTCGGTTGCGAGATCAACACACATGCCTTGGCGCCAAAACGTGCGAGGGTTTTTCGGCTCTTTCTGGCGCTTTTGGGTTTTTTTGAGCTTTTTGGGCGCTTTTGGGCTTTTTTCGACGAAGTATGGCGGGTCGCTTGAACAGAATTCCTGCATGATGCTCGTTGTGAGTACTCTCATAAAATGGTGAATGCAAACATTTCATGTGGATAGGGCATTCCTCTTCAGAACCAGTTTTGTTCCTTGTGAACCGCCATTCAATCGCGATATTACGAAGAACGTAGTTGTGGTTCTTGTCTGTGTGTAGAATTAATGGAAAAGTTCTATTTTTTTTGCTTTAGTGCATCTGGAACGGCAAGACGCGCAATGTGCATGCTGTGTGCAACCGCACATATTGACAGAATGCCCACAGCATGCACATTGCGCGTCAAAGTCTATGCAGTAGACCCCGTATATCTTCCAGAAACTTTTTTAATCCTTTTACTTAATGACAGAAGAACTAAGAACTGAAAGACATGACATAGCGCCTAGGTGGTTAATATGTGTCTGCGGCTAACGAATCCAGGATTTTACGCACGTTGAACACGGTGTGTAATCGCTCATAAATACCATGTTACTAAAAGTTTGTACCACGTGCCGCAGCTATCAAATTCATCTCCCATTTAGCAATCTGTGAGCGTCAGGCGCACATAAGAAAGATCTGAGGAAAGCATGTCTATAGGGGCCTGCAGGATCGCGAGAGTCGGACGTGCGTACGGCCATTGCGCCGCGCACGTCAGAACTGCGTGCGACGGCCCAGGTAATGCCAGACTTATCCTGTTGAACAGGTTCATTCGGTTCAACCTTTGCTGTTGGACAGTGTAGTGATTTGACCTATGAACGGAACGAACGGCTGAAGTGGATAAGTCTGGCACTTGCCTTAGTGACATCGGACGTGCGCCGCGCAATGGCCGTACGCACGTCCGACTCTCGCGATCCTGCAGGCCCCTATATTTAAGCAGTGCTGCATATGGCGAAGGTTATTACTTGATTTACGATGTTGCACTCACCCAGAGACTGTTAGGATTCTGAGAAGAGTTCTGAAAAGTACAGAACCTCTTCATCTAATGAAAGGGGATGAGTTCCCTTCCCAGCGGGACCGAGGGGAGAGATGAGGGAGGCGGAACTAGCGTAGCGATATTGAAAGCATGATCATCTCCATGATTCATGTAGAGGCGGGTTGCGGACTTTCCCTGATTTTAAGGATGAACTTGTTAAACCTCCACGTCACAGCATTGTTTTTCGTACTCTCTCACTATCAAAAACTGCCACGCATTGAGTTGGCAAAACCCCACCTCTACACGAATCGTGGAGTCGATGATACTCAGTGATTCATGAGAATGTGCAAGAGACTCGTTCATACTCGCAAATAATCAAATGATTTTTGAAATTTATTTAAAAACCAATTGACCTTCTGAAAAAAATTTTTCACTGAGTATCTTTAGGTTAATTATTCAATCATCTTTACTTGTGTCCCATAGCAAATGACAAAAGTCTTTCCTTTTGCGGATGCAGTGTTGCTCTCTAAATTATTTGATTTGAGATGTGTAGTAACCAGGATCCGTATGGGAGTGTTTTTCTGCTTTACCCTCGACATTTGCGATACCATATCAATACTTCTTCCATATCAACTGCCCAATTTTGAATTTAGTGCTGCAAAGATTAGATAAGACAACCTATTTGCTTGCACCGGGATTATTTCTTTCTGCACAAGTTGCAGCCATGCTGGTTACCTCCTCGTTGTTATATAATGCGGTGCAAATATATTTTCTTCAACTTTAAAACCTTAGCGCCCACAACTGGACAGTCAGAGCAAGCTGCATGTTACTCATTGGCATAAACAGCCCCCACATTTTCGACACTCGCGCGACCGTTGGGAAGCTTATCTGGAGGGTGTTTGAGAAAGTAATGTTCTGCTGTTATCAGTTTCACTCCAGCCGTTCTATCTCACACCATGGCGCCATCGCGAACTGGCCATTCAGTCAAAAAGTTTATCTAAGCTTTTGGTGCAGCGGCGGACCTCAATACTTTACCCTCTGCTTTGGTTTGAAATGGTTCTTCTCACACTTCATCAACTTATGACTCTTCCCTTCTGTTCACTCTTTTGGGCACTTTTGTTTCACCCAAAGCCTTTCAAAGTTTATCGCACCACTGCTCAGCACATATTTAATCGCCTGTTTTGAATGCCAGGGTGGTCTTTGCTGCTTGTTTTTCAAATGCAGGTCTGCAACTTTTCGTCGCTATGCAGCGTAATCGGTCGCAATATCACGTCGTCGTGCCCACGAGCCGCCCGTCCATTTTCCGCAGTGTTGTTTGATACCGGCTGTCCGGTTCATTGTTGATACATCATCCATCGGTTGTTGATCCTTCGCTCTTTCAATTTCATGGAGTCGTTGACACATGTTTTTTCGATGATTCACCATTGATTGAAGGAAAAAAGATGGGAGGATTTAACCTGGAAGTTTTTGACGCAAAAGAGCCGACACGTTCGATTATAACGCTTGATAATCTTACTGGCGATGAGACAGTCTTGGCTATAAAGAAACGTATCGCCCAGAAAAGTAGGTGCATTTTGGTTTGAAGAAGTTTTTTTTCTAATTTTTCTGCTGTGTCAGTAAACTTTGTACTTTGAGTTCTTATGTACAATGGCCTGCTTGCAAATTTTTACACTTTAAGACGATTAAAGTGCTGGTATCATGAGTAGTGAACAGCTCTGCTACGGTTTCTTTTCTGTCGCAGAGTCAAAATGTCATACACGACTTAATCACCAGCTTTTTCCACTCCATAAGCCTATCGGCGCACTTTTGGTTTAAGTCGGGTTTTTCAGTGTGGTACCTGGAGCGTTTCTAAGGTGGCTATGGTTGAAGCATTGCTTTACGAGTTTGTCTATCGCTGATTGAAACCATTAAGAACTTTTGATTGATCAGGTTCCAAGTGACTGCCCGATTTTTTTTCTTTCGGAATCAAATTTTTTTTCGCTCATAAGTTTTTTCCTTACCTGTGAAAATTAAAAATCTCAAGCCTAGTGACTAGTATAATTATAGTTATAGTCAAACACTTGAGAAAATCAATGCACATATGGTGTAAAATGGGCTTTGCAACAAGCGCTTTACTGCGTTTATGAAAGCTCGAACATGAATCTGCTTCATTTCAGAGCTGAAATTAACAGTCGAGCGACAGTCGGTACGTGTTGAACCTAAAGGAAAAGCTATCGCCGACGAGAAGCAAATCAAAGAACTTGGCTTGTCCGCACAAAATGCACAGTTGTATGTTCGCGATCTTGGACCACAAATTCCTTGGAAGACCGTGAGTTTACAAGGTGTAAGCTAGAAAGTTACAGGATATTCATGAGCTTATTGAGCTCCATTTCTATGCAAATAATATCCAATCACGTTCATGACTTCTTTTCAAATTTGTTTTTCCAGGTTTTTCTTTTGGAGTACCTGGGTCCCCTTCTTATCTACCCCATCTTCTATATACGCCCTGCATTCATCTACGGTGAAGGTTACGACTGTTTTATGTCACTCCTTAGAGTAGATTTTTCTTCACTAGGCTCAACGTGCTTTTTTGATACAAATACCTTCAGCTTGTATTTTCTTATATAAAACTTTGGTCTTTCAGGAGCTGCTGATCGACCATATCATCGTGCCGTGACTTACGCATTCATTTGTTGGTCTTTCCACTATGCCAAACGCTTGTTCGAAACCCAGTTCATTCACCGATTCAGCAACGGCACCATGCCAAGGTTTAATCTTATCAAGGTAGTGTTTCAGCTTTCGGCATATAACAGGCTTCATTTCTAGTCATATTGGTAGGTTTCTTCTGTTTTAGAACTGCTCGTACTACTGGGGATTCGCAGCATTTGTTGCTTACTTCGTGAACCATCCTGACTACTATCCTCCTTATTTCGGAAACTTCCAGGTTTACTTGGGGCTCATCGGATTTGCCATTTCTGAATTTGGTGAGTGTGTCAAGATCTCCTATTTGCCTCGTTCGAATTTGTCATATAGCTGATGTTCCAAATGTTTGGACTGATATCGAAGTAACATCTTTTTCTAGTCGTTTGCGATTGAACGAGGAGTCTTCACCTTGTGCTCTTCCATGTATCAAGTTTTGTGTTCAAACGTAGATTTCAGGTAACCTCTCCATCCATATTCTTCTGCGCAATTTGCGACCACCCGGTACTCGCGAACGTCGTATTCCTCGTCCGGATGGAAACCCAATGAGTCTGCTTTTCAACCTCGTATCGTGTCCGAACTACACGTATGAGGCGCTTTCATGGTTTTTCTTCACCATAATGATCCAAAGCTTCCCAAGTATGTTTTAGTATCGCACATTGTTCTTTTTACTTGTCAATTGTGACTGTCGGATTTCTGAATCTGGAGATTATCGAGAAAGATCATTTCCTTCAAATAAGCTTGTGCACCTATATCTGCTGGGGAATGTGGTGTTGAAAAACTTTTCGAGATTAGGACCGAAGAGACGTGTCAAGCATTCAGCCGTAGAAGCGATTTTCCGGTCCGGTCATGAAGTCTCATGATTTGAAAACCTCTCTTACTTGTCGCGCTCGAACAAAATTTGGAGAAGTTGAAAATTCCGGCAATCTACGGAACGTATCTAAAAATTTCATAATTTCAAATTTTCTTTGTTCCTACCCGAATGTTTACAATTAGCACTGTTAGTTAGATTTACATCTCTTCATAAACCAACCCTCAAAAAAAAAAGGAAATAGTAGTGGATTCCTTCAAGGATATCTAGGAATCTCTTTTGAAAACACTCAATTGCGTGTCACATTTCGATAAGCTTTAGCTCAACGTGCTTTTACTGAAAAATATCAGAGCCCTTGAAGATGGATAAGCAATATCTCCAGCGGAGATGTAATGCATATAAGGGATCGTTCATACCGCGCACAAAGGCGGACGAAGCCGGACGAAGCCGGACAAAGCCGGACAAAGGGCGGACGAAGGCGCGTCTTGTCTCGTCTCGTTTCTCTCGACACACACATACACACACTCACACACGCCTCGTCTCGTTTCTCTCGACACACACACACTCACGCATGCCTTCGTCCGCCTTTGTCCGGCTTTGTCCGGCTTCGTCCGCCTTCGTCCGTCTTTGTGCGCCTTTGTGCGCGGTATGAACGATCCCTAAGCTGTTCAGAATAGTACAGTATAAATAAGAATAAAGTCCAAATTTTTGCAAGCCGTTATACTCATTTCAAATCAACCAAGTTATTATAACTCTACATCTAAGTGTTAAAAACGAGATCCTTTGTACTCAGCTTGAACTGCTCCATGATGTACTAGCATCAAATGATAAAGGAAGGATACCTTTTGCAGGTTTGCTTTTTAACATCGCAGGATTCGTGCAGATGGCTATTTGGGCGAAAAACAAGCATCGTGCCTACAAGAAGGAATTCCCCGATTACCCTAAGGAACGAATGGCAATGGTTCCGTTTGTGTTCTGAATTGTTTGAATGTGTTATCTGCCTTTCGCTAGTTGTACCGTTTATTGCTTAAATCTCTTTTTCGCTTCTCAACCAATTCGAATTGTCTGTGCACAGAGATTGCTTTTGTTGTACAGTGTTCCTTACGTGCGTGCGTTTGCACTCGTAGATATAGACGTATAATTTACCGGTGTTTGCTGCAGCGCGTCCTGAAATCTGAAATCCTATTTATTCTTTTGTGTTTCTGTTTGTTGAATCACTAATAAAATGTTATGATTGATAATGGCAGATATTTTGGTGGAATTCCATATGTACAAAAAGTCGCATTTAAGCTATGTTGTTTATGTTGGCGGAGAATTTACAATGATATCCGACTGGTACTACCAATTTTATTTTCGTGCACCCGTTTCTGGAAGTTTGCGGCAACAGGCAGTAAGTTGGCATTAAGTGGTGATAATGAGCTAGAAATGGTGATTGTGTTTCTATCAAAATGATGTCTTTTTGATGTGAGTATACCTGAGTTAAGATCATTGTGAATAAATCAGCTGTTGGTTTTTGATAAACAGGAGGCAAAAGCTGTAGTCTACTTAACATCGAGCAATGCCCCATTTGGGTCCGATGGGCTCTTTCGCACATGGCACTGAGATCTCAAAACCCCGAACTTTGTGCGAACTTTGCCTTTTCTTAACTAGCTATTATCTAGATTGAGGCTAGGTTGAATCATGCCATGTTTCTTGGTCATCTGATGTGACCTAAGCCAGCCTCTATAATCAAAATGCTTCGTCGAACAGTCCAAAAGGCTTGCTTCCGATCCTCAAAAATCCCTACTATGATGCTAAAGCGTCAACTCTGAAAATGTTTCGAATGATGCAATCTCTTCATAATCGAGTTTCGCCTGAGCAGAGCCTTTCTGCTTTGAACCTTTCATTTTTAGTAACTCTTGCATTTACAGAATGACTGAGTTGCAAGCAGTTTTGTTATGTGGGGGTTCGGGCAGTCGCATGATGGAGTTATGCGATGGCATGTTCAAGTTTTTGTTGCCCATAGCAGATGTGCCTATGTTTTGGTATCCACTCAATACACTGGTGAATTCTGGTATAAAAGGTGAGTATTTGAATTTGATATAGTGATGAAATCTTGGATGTGGCTTTTACGACTATGAATACTGTACGTTTCTATCGTCTGTCCCTCAGAGATGTTCCCAGAGGTAACAGCAACGTGGATGCCTTTTGGTCATTTCCACATGTCAAGTGAATAGGGCCTCGAATTTGCTGGATTACCTTGTTAGAGCGATCGAAAGGCAGCCATATTGATGGTACCTGTGGGAACATTTCTGGGGAACAAACCGTACGAAGTGTTATACTATTTCATGTGGTATTTGTTGTGTAATGTCTCCATGTAGTGTTGCACCACCTATTTTCTTATTATCACTCTGGACTTTGTGCAAACGTGTAAGTGATGGTAAGAAAATTTTTTTTTGAGAGAGAGACTGCTTGTACACACGCGTATCTCTGTTTCGCAGCCCTTGTTTTGTCGTAATCATCTTATTATCTTGGTCATAAAACAACATTAAGACTGCTGTTGCTGCATGTTTATGATTAGTATGGGAATAAACGGCTGAGCTAGCTGCTCACACGATATCTTCAGATGCAAACATATGAATGGCTCCTAGACTCGTGTGGAGACGTGCGGACTTTTCCTGATTATAAGGATAAACTCAACAGTTTAATAATAATAACACGAATCTGGGAGCCGATGATATATATTCTGACTTGCCGTTCAGTCGTGTTTGCTGACATGCGAGCATCACCTAAATCACCCTGCTAAATTTGATCCAGATGTCAAGATCTTCGTACGAGAAGACGCGGAGGCAGAAGTACACCGACTGCTCAAAACACCGCTATTCAGCTTCCCCTCAGCATCTCTTGAAGTTGTCTCAATATCGCGTGAGAACGAAGACTGGGGTACAGCAGATGTACTGCGACATTATTCATCGAAGATCACCGTTAGTTCCAGAGCTTTTCAGTTTGTGGTTACCATTCATCATTCGTATTAAGCGCGATTTTGTAGTAATGTCTTGCGACTTTATCACAGATGCTCGTCTTCAGCCTATGATTGATCAGTTTCGTGCTCACAAGGTGGGTTCATCAGCTCCTCTTCCCAACTATACTCTTTTGCAATAGGCTACACTCCTTTGCCTTCTGAGTGATATGTGTGCTACAGGTCCAGTTCCAGGACCAAAAGTCCGTCGAGGCAAAGGTGAGATCTAGATCAGTTACATGCTATAATATTATGAAGTATAAGCGCATTGATCCAACTATCAACCTTACATTGTTTTTAACTTCGATACGCGAAAAACATGGTCGTTGTCTTTCTTTCTGCATAGGTCATTAGTTGCGTGATAATGTTATTCCTTCGAATTTCTAGTTTCTGTTGCAAGAGAAGCGAAGTAGAGAATTTGAGTGCGACGAGAATTGCCATTCTGAGGCAGATGTTTCAAATATTATAGGCGTTAAATTGGTGTCGAAAGTAATCAGCTAATACTTTATGTCCATGAAACTTTTTTCTAGGTCGGGACTTCATTGCAATGGAGGAATCTACAAATCGACTAGTGTACATGACCTCTGAAGAGGACTTTGATCAACCTGTCAATGCAGAACCGTGGATGAATAAGTACGCGTCTTTTTGCGTTGAACATAAACATTGCATTTTTTTTGCTCAGCTGCGCAGCTGCCAAACAATGTCATTCACATGCTCTCAGGTTTTCAAATGTGAGCTTAACGGCTCGGTACGTGGACTGTCACGTGTACTTCATGCGCCATTCCTGCCTTGGATTGATAGCAAAACAGAAGTGAGTGGGAGCGGTATTTGTTTTCTTTCATGAAAAAAAAAAGCTGAATAGAACCAGTTATTGTATGCTAGAAAATAGATGGTTGAAAGCGCTGCGTTTGTTATTGGAAATCGCTATATTGATGATAATTATGACGAAAGAAAATTTTGGTCCTTATAGGGATATTTTCCAGGAATTTTGCATCGCTCAAAGCAGATTTTGTTCCCTACCTTCTATCACAACAGTACACCAGTGAGTTTTTTGATATCTGCTTCCGTTTTGAGTCCCCTCAGTTTTGATTAGTAAGCATTTCCCTTGGGTACTCTTTTAGTGCCCGAAGGAGACCATGAAGAGCCTAAATGTATGGCTTATCTGCTTCCACATGGTAATGCTACTGTAGCAGCACATGCGAATAACTTGGGAGCCTATTTCGAAGTTAACAAATCGGTAAGCACTTCACTTTGTAGCTATGCAGCATATATCTATCTGTATTTTTGTAGATCCTGAAGAGCTTACCTCGCATATCACCAAAGTTATACGTTGGTCAAGTTTTTGATGGAAAATCTACTGGCATCCATACCAATGAAAGCCTCGTAGCTGAAGATGCCAAGGTAATAATGGCCAACTTTGAAAATGAACGTATAATAAGCATGTGAACAAACAGATTGGCGAGCGGTCTCTGATCAAGCGTAGCGTTATCGGATCGCGGTGCTGCGTTGGTGAAAAAGCCAATGTTCAGGGCAGTCTTGTAATGGATGGAGCGTCGATTGGGAAAGGGTTAGCATCAAAATTTCTCTTGTTGATTAGGGCATATGTAGTTCTGTATGTCTACGTTGTAGTGCAAAAATCACGCAAAGTATAATTTGTTGTGGTGCAAGTATTGGTGACAACGCCGAACTCACCAGTGTTATCGTAGCTAAGGATCAGAAAGTCAGCGCACACTGTGAGTTTGTCGTTTTTTTTTCAGCTCGCTCTAAGTTAAAAACTTTTGCTTTACAGCAAAGTTACAAAATGAGTTTGTTGACTTGGACGATGAGGATAATGCATGGGAAAATGGCCTTTGAGGTTTGTTATCTTCTTCCTGTCCGCCAAGACGCTGTCTTCGGTTTTGATTATTGAATTCGAATTCGTTTTCATAATTGGTCCCGCACTGTTTCCGGTATTTACTTTGTTATGTTTTTATTGGGTAAAAACTTATCGTATGTCCAGTTTTGCGCTGCTGCCAGTCACCTTTTCCCATTTGCTTGTATTCGCGTAAAGCACCCCTGAAACAGCTAAGATGTACAGTTACGGATAAGCTATTCTTTGTTGATATTTGTTGACGCTATAAAGGGTTTCCTCACGTTCATGTTTTTGTAAAGAAAAACAGCAAAATCTGTACCCGTAACTTTCCTACATCACATAATTCATGTATCGTGCTGCTGTTTGTGTGTTTATGATAGGCTTGAAAATACTGATTTAAGGGACACGGTACGATGTGTGGTAAGGGTGGCGGGAGATTGTCGGATACCTCGAATCAAGGAAAGGCGGTCAAGAGGCGCGATTTTCCCGGCTGATACGAACTTAGAAGATGCTGAGCACGTTTTAAAAAATGTCGGACAAAGTTTTCGGCTTACATTCGAATTTACTATTTGCTCACTTTCAAGGCTTTTGCTGAAACTCGACCGAAACACTTACGAATCTCTTGCCAATCTCATTTTTAAGGTTTTTTAACCTCCAACACTGAGATTTCAGACTTTTTGAGACAGTATTTGGATCAATGCAACTGCCTCTTATAATTCTTATTTGAATTGTCTTTGACCTTATAAAACACAAGTATGTATAAGTCCTTGTCAGACAGAATCGCACCTCCGACATACCATCTCAGTGAAAGGCAAAAGCGCGCTTTTTGAGACTTCTGTGGCTCCTTCCCCCACGAAGATAAAACTTTTTCCTTTGACAAACAAGCTAATATGTCCAAAAAACTGTCCATAAAATATTTCACTCATTTATTAGGTCGTCCCGAAAGTATTTTCGCTATTTTCAAACGGTTGCCACAATCGATGGAACAAACCTTTCTAAGAGATTTTGGTAGCGTTCGATGCAGAATTTCATTCTCTTTCTAATGGTTGTGAAACTGTTGCAAAACAGTCAATGAGCTTTCAGAAAATAACCAAAATCTGCGACTCATGCTTTTTGAGATGGTCAAATTTCACGATTTTTTAAAACTTTCATATCAATCCTCAGAAGGAGTTCAAGTAACGGTTCGATAGAGTAAACCTCATAGAATACAATACTTCTTTTTTCTCTTTTTCGTAGCTCGCTGTAATTTTTTAAAAGATTTTTTAACAAAGCCATCGGATTTTGGCAGTCCCACCTCAGCCGCAATCGCATCAAACATCAGTAGTTACTCGGAATTTCAAGCTTTCAAGATGATATATGACTTAATATTGAATTTATAAAGCAAATGAGAGTTTACGGATTCGAAATATTGAATTTTGAGTTTTCCGGGTACAGCCTGGGGCTCCTCAAAAAAATGAATTGTGATGATTTTATCCCCGAAAACTAAACGAATCGGAAACAAAAAACACCCATTAGAAAGAGGAGAAAATGCTGCATCAAATAGCACCCGAGCTGCTCCTCCTTTGATGTTCTACAAGGATTTAGCTGTCCAAGTATGTAAATCGGTAGCATCAATTAAATTCTATTAAAAATGTATGACAAGCTACGGAAAAGAGAAAAAAGTTGCACTGTATTCTATGAGGCTTACTCTATCGAATCGTTGCTTGAGCTCCTTCTGAGGATTGATATGAAAGTTTTAAAAAATCGTGAAACATGACCATCTCAAAAAGCATGGGTCGCAGACTTTGGTTATTTTCTGAAAGCTCATTGACTGTTTTGCAACAGTTTTATAACCATTAGAAAGAGAATGAAATTCTGCATCGAACGCTACCAAAATCTCTTAGAAAGGTTTGTTCCATCGATTGTGGCAACCGTTTGAAAAAAGCGAAAATACTTTCGGGACGATCTAGTATATGTGAAACATGTCACTTGCACATTTTTACCTCTCATGAAGCCATCAAATTTCGCGCCCGTCCTCTCGCTTTTGAATCAAAATGACCTCTGTAAAAAAAACAGCTGATGTACTATTCATGATTTTCACATGAAAAGGTATAATCGTAAGTATACATTGCAGTTTTCAACTGATGTCCAAAATTTAGTGACGCTTAAAAATGTGTCTGCAAGGATTTGTTGCCTTCTAGCAATTTTTTTTGGGTTTATTATCTCATCACAGAACACACTTCGACCGGATTTATTCACCATTGTCGATTAACACATTTACAAACTACACGTTCAGAAGGTGGAATAAAGATCCGTAGATAGGAAGAAACGCAAAGAAGCGTACGAAAACTAACCGGGAGAGAAATGAAATATCAAAAAACCAGATGTCTTGATAGATTTCTTTAAAATATCTGTATAGGAAAAACTACGCAAGAAAGCAAAGCAAGAAGTAGAACGATTTAAAAATAGAATGAGGTGATTCGGTAGAGGAGACTACTATCAATGCGACTGCGTCTTCTCGCATGCGATACGGTAGCGTTACCGTAAACGTACAGTGCGATCAGACTCAAGTTGCATATATAAGTCTACTTTGTACATTGACGAAAACATGTGTCGGCTGTAAATCCGGCTAAAATGACAAATGTTCTTGGAGGTCACTAAATGTTACCAAATCGGTTGATTATCGATTGCAGATTATCGATCGATTGAAATCGAGAGGATGTTGCATGTTTAATAGTATTAACAGAGATGATACACGCAAATGTAGAGGTTCTGTAAAAGCAACGACTATATCAACGGATGAGTATTCAGGCTAGAGGCGCTAAATGCCGCTTTGCAACAACTATAGCGGACAAGTGTAACAAAAAAGTAAAAGAATACTGTAACTCGATGCAAGGTGTATAATCAATTGAGGAAGGATGCGTTTGAGTGACGGCGGATGAGGTATATATGGCCCGTCGTCACTTTACACGAAAATATGAAGCATATTTAGAGGATATACAAATTTAACGCGATTCAGAAATTCTGCAGAACGTGTGCGGGGGCGGAGTCAGGCGTCTTGGCCAATCAGGAGCAACCAAGAAGGTGTGCGAGAGCACACGCTTTTTGGTCGTTCCTTATTGGTCGGAGTGCCTAACCCCACTCTTTTCTTGCATTCTTTTTCAAATTTTTCCGAAATTCCGACCTAACTCTGTTCCCTGATTTCCAAAACGTGCTAAATTTGCGAAAATCACCGGAAAACTTAACAACCGGCGACTGTACGGCATTAGAATCGTAGAACGTGACCTGGTTTTGCCCGTTTGATACCACTCTTCACCAGAGGGGCTTACGCTGAGGAGACGCACCACACCACGTTGGGCTGCGGGTTTTTATGCTGTAACGGTATCCACACAGCCCTTCGAGGTGTGAATACAAAAAAGAAGAAAACTTCAGAAATATAATCCGAAGCAAATCAACATGAACACTGCCTATTAACAAGGAAAAATCGGTAAATCAATAATGACAAGAAAAACACATCACGAGTGAAAACAATAAAATGATAAGGTTGGGGTGAAATGTGTGTGGGACTAGGTGGATGTGAGTTGACTTATGATTGCTACTACTACATTATGTTCATGACTCTTGCTACTTTTGAACACTCGATCGATAATCGATTGGAGAATGAGATTAGCAAGGTACTATGAACATGCGCATGAACGTGAACATCTAATCTTATGCATTTTCAAGTGTATTTTGTACTGTTGCCCCTGTCTGCGCGTGATTTTTCACAATGACTCGACTCGCATAGGGGCGCGGTTTCGATTTACATAAATCGGAACTGTGTTGGTGTTGTGGTCGAGTCGAAGAACGATGGTTGTGTATAGCTTTGCGATGATGCATAGCTGACCGCTTGTTGCATTTGGAACTGTTGTCCGGAGAAGTAGAACGGATGGTACGACATTTGCGGGTTCACTGTAATAGTTGGATTTACGAGGATAGAATTCGATGGATGTTAGTGATCTTTGGTAAAGCAGAAACAAATCAAATCACAAACCATAAAGTTTGGACGGAATATGTCTGCAATTACCTAATTGTCAATGTAGGGGAACACCTTTCTGCATCGCTGACCAATCATAGGCGACTTCTTACGGTCGCTTATGATTGGTCAGCATGTCGCCTGCGATTGGCCCACTTTGAGCAGAGCGGAGCAAGGGAAGAGAACGAATGAATTGTGTGCGTACGCATGTAGGCCTACTTCTGTACCTCTATCATGTTCACGATGATAAATACGCATATATAATATGCACAGATAAAGTACACGTTTAAAAGATGCTTTTCCATTGACCTTGTGATGTAACTCGTCCAATTTTAAATGGCGCCGCAGTGGCAAAATAGGCATTCAAACCGGTCTACTCTTAGCACGGGTAAGACTTTTGATTTTGCATCACTTCCACTTCAAAAATAAAATTAGGAGTTATTTTTTCAGAGTTGATGTTTATTTCACGGGTGACGTGGATATCAAAGCACAATATTCTAATATGTGAGAGTCTGTGAATGTCAAGTGCAGGCGGGTTTGTTGTATGTTATGCGATGCATGTGATGCTATGTATAAATAATGCATGACATCATGCGAATTTATGGATTTTCTATTGACACTATTGGTGAAGTGCAGGGGCTGGTGGAGTTTTTTAAAAAAAATACTTACTTTGAAAAACTTTTTTTTTTCGCCAATAACTCGGTCGGCCCTCTCGCAGCATTAACATGTATTTTCCAAGCTTTTCGCTTTAATGACACCGTTTGGCAGACCTTGACATTGCCTCTTCTCAAATTTACATATTGAGACATACTGCGACACTATTTGCACCCACCTAACTCAATAATCGCCCAAGTCCCGCTGTGAAAGACGAATTTCGAAGAAAGAAATCTGCTCCAAAAATAGAAGCGGCGATGCTCCGCTCATCAACGTGGGTGGTCTGAGAAGTCTATTGGATTCAAATGTTCCAAAACTGTCGAAAATCTGTCCTCCATTGCCAGACTATCAGACATTTCACACTTCTGTTTACATTTGAACCCTTTTGAACTCCTCCAGACTACCCCCGTTGATGGGCGGAGCTTCACCACCGCTTTTTCCTTCTGGAGCTGTCTTCTTGCTTCGAAATTCTTGTTTAGCAGCCTTGGGTCAGTCTAGCATACTGTAGCAAAGTGAAAAGGTTATCTACAAGATAGTTTGTGTGCGCCAAATGTGGGATTCAGACATGCAATTTTCTGTTCTGCAAAAGTCCGAGCCAGTATGAGTACATTTTCTGTACCAAGGAACAGTTTGGGTAATAATTAAGCTCATAATTACGTAGATCACTGTCCTACTATAATTTTAAGTGCATCAGATAAGTGACTAGCTGAAAGGGACTGAATGAGAGTTTTTATCGAATTAAAAGTCCCTTATAAGCGCTGATTGCAGGGTAATATCGCTCTAAACTGAAGTGAAAACTTTCAAGATCTTTCAATTTGCTATGTTGATGGCAATCGCGATAATAATTTTGAAAGCAGCTGGAAATTGCTTTTTCAATCAAAAAAGCCCTGCATCACAATACCTGTGGGTAGGACAGGAGCTGGACGAGTTGGCTCGGTACAAGCCGGCACGTCCTCATGTATTTCGCTAAGATCCGATGGCAGAGAGGGCGATGTGGACGAATAGGTCTGAGTGGACACGTCCATACGTTCTCGAGTTGATGGTGATGGAATCACCTAAGATGGAGCTTTGGAAGGCGTGTGCGGCCATTTCAATGAGAGGTACCTCGGACGTGTTGTCCGCAAACAATTCCACGAGCAGTGGATCTAGTGAACCACCGAACATACGAGCGAACTGCACGTTTTCGCCAACAAGTGAGCTTAGCTTCTGGAATCAGTCGATCGATATATTGATTAATAGCAACAGATTAGTTACTGTCTGGATTTTATGCTTACTAAAGACTTACCGCAAGTGGTGGCAGAAGCAGAAGAATGTTCCCGAAACGGCTAGTTACGTGCTGCAGCGCGGACGAGTTCTCACGGATCAACTGGAACAGCGCATTTTGCACCCTGTCACGAACTTGACTAAGTGAGTTCGAGGATGTTTCCGATAGTCCAGGAGAATCTGAAACGAATAGTTTAGGGAACTCAGAATGCAAAGAAGGGGCGTGGCTTCTTACCCGGATCCAGAACTACAAGAGCGGACAGAACTACTATTTCGGCTTCACTGAGAGATAACTTCCGCATAGGTGCCACAAGGTCGTCAAGCATTCGTGGGACGAGGTTATTGGAGAGTAAGCTGAAATCACTTGCATTATAGAGAAGACTGGGGGAGGGGGGGGGGGGAGGAGAAGGTGGTCCGGGATGACCTACTTTGTTTCGAGAAGGTGGCGAGGTGGTTGTCTTGGGATGGTCGTTCGGTTGCACAAGCAGATCAAATCCATGTCTCGAGAGAACTAAATCCTCCCATATTCAAAAATCTATGGGAGTTGGTTCAAAATGCCAAGCCCACCTGTGCAGTTCGTGCAGCTTGACAAAGAATTGTATATGGTGCAAAGACGCTTTTTAGAATGGATACTTTTTCTGCTACGTTTTCTATCTGCGCCAATGAAGACAGCGCTTCAATCCAATGCACCGTTGCGAAGAGGTAGCGTCGAAGGGCTGATGCTAACTGTTCCACAGTTGCTACACGGTCGACACTGTAGCCCATCTGCAAATTTTTTATGATTATGAAAAATCAGTAATCGATTGCAAAGCAGTTTACTTCATAAGCTTCGTTTTCGTATGCATAGCGATTGCTGAACAGTGAGCTGATGTCCATATCGGGTTCGGATTTAATTCTTTGGATTCCTATAGGTAGAGGTGTTCGAGCTGCTGGCCCACCCATTGATTGTAGTTCAACGTCAACAAGAAAGGTAACCAGCACATCTTCATGCGGTGACCTGGATAATCAAATTAATAGGAGAAGGAACATCAGTAGTTTGAACTTTGTATTTTGGAAGTCGAAATGTAAGCCGTTAAAATAAAGAGGAGAAGAGCGAGATGGGTAGGGAATATACTTTGGACCAAGTGAACAAATCGATTATCGACCCTTCGAATGACTGTCGGATGCAAATGATTCGAAGCGAGTGGAATGTCCAGACTTCGAATAATATTCGAGTCAAATTTTCCAGATTCTCGTTTTTGAAATACTATGCCGTAGTCGAATATCCGGAAATTTTTCGAGCTTCCAGAATGTAGTAGGGAAGCGTAAAGGAAGCAGGAACGGTAAGAGATGGCAATCACGTAATATTCGAAAATTCGTGTCTTGAGCCCATTCTTTGTATTACTTCCCCTCCCTCTTCAACAACATCTGCAGAAGTACGAGAAAGCCCAAAATATGTTCCTAGATTACTGCATAAATTTTCTGAGTCATATCGTGCGTCTGAGCGGTGCAGATCGATTTATTGATTGATGGAATGACTCACGGTGAATCACTGCCAGGTGACGGTAGCGAACTGTCTTCACGCTTCAACTTTTTGCGGCGAGGATTCTTTTGCTTGCCGATGATATCGCGATCTGGTCGGATAGCTGTAAAAATGTTTTGTTTGAGGGAATCCGCAAAAGAATAGAGAGAAGAGAGAGAGAGAGTAAAAGTTAGGAGCGAATAGAAGCTCCTGAAAAATGACATGCTAACAGCTGAATATGGCTAAGCAGCTAACAGCTGAATATGGCTAAGCAGGTGCAGCTATAGGAATTTGGAAATTTTCAAAATGAACTAAACTAACCATCTGGCTCCATTCCAACATTTAAGCAACGTTGAAATCTACAGAATCGACAAGCGTTTCGTTGATCTGAATGGACCATTATGGTTTTATACATTACACAGAATTCTATCTATCATACCTTTATCAATGCTGCACTTCTGTTGAAAACGGCATGAATAGTTCTGTCCGCTACGTATGGTACGCCGGAAGAAACCTTTGCAACCTGAATTACATTTTTTTGGCAGCGATCAATATGATCAATTTTTTTTTCGAAATATTACCGTAACATGCCATGACTCCATAGTGTTTCCCTGCTGATCGATCCCCACATACCATACAGACGCCATCGCATAAGTCCATTATGGACCTTAAATTAGATTTTTTCTTTTTTGGTAATCAAATTAGATTTTGTTTCCCATGTTTTGTAGCACTTGTTAATCATCTTTGCTGTAGTTTTTAAAAAAAATCCGTTTGAGAGGAAGATAGCTTAGTTTGACGGAGTTATTGCATAAAGTTATGAAACAACCCAACTCGAAAAATTTTAGAGTTTTAATTGTGCCTCTTCAGCCCCTCCCCTCTTCTCAATACCAACCACTACTGCAGCAAAACGTACACTACTCTAGTGCCTATTGTGAGAAATTCTTTGGAATACTACTAATATGTTGTTAAGAAAAGAAATGGCATAACTGTTTTGAAACTCAATCAAGTGTGGAGCAACGTGAAGCCCTTGAATAGGAAAGTTCATGTAAGCAAATAATTTGTGCAATTTTGTACGGGTACGTAGTTGTGATTAACGATATTAACCTTTTCTAGCTCGCGTGAGTTGTCCAAAAGTGAACTAACAAATCACGATTTTTAGTAGTACTGTCACTGAAAGTTGAGCAAGCAAACTTTGCCCATACGGAAAAAAGACCTTGATTTTGAGCAAAAAAGAGGAAATCTACTGCCAGGTTTCTCTTTCAGGATTTTTAGATAGCGCATTCACTAGCATGGACATATTTGTTCATAAAATGATGTACCACGTACATATTAGGTTGGTAAGAAAGTTTTCGGACATTTCCAGAAAAGATCTGCTATTTCTCGAAACCTAACGCATATACATCAGACTGAGGTACCATTCGATAGAGCAAAGCAGGCTCTACAAGATGGTATGCAAAGTTTCGCACCAGCTTCGACTCACCGTAAGTTTTCGCCCAAAATCTGAGTCGTACTGAAATTCAAAAAATCGCGAAAAATTCATATCTTTGTTCAAACAAATCCTCCGGATCTCCAACTTGCACACAAAAATTGCGGACCACATCAGACACTCATATGCACCGTTCCTGTATTTCTTCCTCATCTGGAAATCGAGAAAACGAAAATTTTCATGCTTGTATAAAAACGAAGCTGTGCTGTTTCCACCAACGTAATTGAATAGCTCAAGCCTTTAGAAGTATAACCGTAAATTTTCAGCTTTCCGTAAGCTCTAGTTGTCGAGAAATGTTGATTTTAGCATGGAACGCCCGAGTGAGAAGCGCTTAAATCGCTAATTTTCGGGAACTAGGGCCTGTAGAAAGCTGAAAATTTACGGTCATACTTCTAAGGGTTTGTACTATTTAAATACATGGGTGGAAACAGCACAGCTTCGTTTTTACATAAGCATGAAAATTTTCCTTTTCTCGATTTCCAGATGAGGAAAAATTACAGGAACGGTGCATATGAGTGTCTGATGTGGTGTGCAATTTTTGTGAGCAAGTTAGAGATCCAGAGGATTTGTCTGAACAAAGATATGAATTTTTCGCGATTTTTTGAATTTTGGTACGACTCAGATTTTGGGTGCAAACATACGACGGATCGAAGCTGCTGTGAACTGTTGCATACCATCTTGTAGAGCTTGCTTTGCTCTATCGATCGGTACCTCATTCTGATGTATATGCGTTAGGTTACGAGAAATAGCAGATTTTTTCTGAAAATGTCCGAGAACTTTCTTACCAACTTAATACATTTATTCATTAGAAAGAATGCAGTGGGCAACAATTCAGAGAAAAAATTAGAAAATAAAAATTCATAATAAGATTCATTTGCAATGATTTTCAAGCGCGTCCACTCAACATACTGATATTCGTTCATCTGGTTCAAAATTTCAAAAAAAAAAACCGATGGACTAGGCAAAAAATCAATCCATTGATATTAGAACAACCCGTGTACTCGTTTACTCGTATACCATGCTACAGATCACCGGCGGTCCGAGCAGTTTTGTTCGAAGGGGAGGGGAGGGGGGGGGGAGCAATTTTTTTCGAACAGAGGGGCATGGCGTTAGCTAAGTCTTGCCAAGTTTTTGGGACACTTCCAATTTATTAGGTGGGCCTATAACTCCCGCATAATTTTTTCACAATGCTAAAATTTGCATATTTGAAAATTTTAGATTATGTAGATCATGTAGATCATTCACAGGTAAAATCAAGTCACTTGCACATTTCTTGACTCATGTGAGTGGACAATCTTGAAATCCAACGAGACGTTTTATATAGATGTGCATTTATTCCTGTCTACATTAGGGAGAACCATACCAAAAATGCCCCCCCCCCCCCTCCTCCCCCCATTTTATCTGATTTAACTAAGTCCAGCACTCTACTTGAAGGTGCTTATCACATGGCTGATCAGTGAGTGCGAATCGACTGTTGCACATTGGTGGCGGGCTGCTGTAATTTATAGGCTTTTGCACCTGTGCACGTTGAGGACACACTATTTACAAAAAGAATTTCAGAGGATTTTTAGGGAATTTTTCATGGAATCAGAGAGGTTGTTGTTATACTTTAGGACGACTTCTGCAAGTAGGCACAACATATTTTCTAACTTCCTGAAAATTATCGGGAAAGTTTGCAAAAGACACTAGGAGTCCTTTTTTTGGTTTATAATGTTATGAAGAGTTTGTTAGATTTTGTTAGCCTGAAAATGAGTTGCAAGACTACGTTAAAAATAGTGGAAAAAGGATTTGAAAATGAATTCAAGTATTTCACGTTTTCTCTTGCAAAATCACCAAATTGCACATATCCTCCCTATCGGCTTCCGAGATTTATTGTAAAGCGTTTATTTTGACACCACACATTTCATAAATCAGAGTCAATGAGAAGGCAAAAGATTCCGCTGCTTCTCAAGAAAATAAACTGCTCCCAATTGTACAAAATTTTTCAAAAATCTATTTTTCACGGCCTATTATATATTCTTATTATGTAAACTGATGTATTCTATCAATACAGATTATAGATGTTTTTACATTAGAAGGAAAAAACGCAAAGAAAATTAAACAAAATGCTTAGGGGATTCAATCAACGCAATTTTTCTTAGGCCCAATCTTCCCATGCTATTGAAAGCGCCGGATTTTACAATTTTACTTTTTTCTACAATGTAATCCAAAATTCGGTCCGACTGTTTACTGTGGACTGCAAAATGCAACACCAACCTTTGCTTCATAATTGAGTCGAGATTTTTTCTTTAAAAACTTATGCGTTGTAGGAATGTTGAGAACTAGAGGGCACAACAATTTTTTGGACATAGTGCAAAACTTGCAGATCTGATATTTGTAAATGAGAAGGGTACACAGTGTGTTTTCTGCATTATGCTAATATCGAAACTAATAGCAATTTTGGTGCATAATCTTTCACAAGGTTAAAAGTAAATTCTTTCATAGGCGCCAATCCAAGAGTGAGAGGGAGCTAACATTGGTGCACTTGATTATGCGCTCTTTCCATAAGTGAACGAAAAAAAAAGCAGCTCCGCGCATACAGTGCATTTGCACATAAACAGCTTTGTTCAGCGGTAATTGAGAGCTCGGGCGTTTCATTAATGCATCCACCAAGATGAATGCACTGCAGACAGCAGCTGCTGCTGCAGTTCCAGCCAATTCTAGCCATTTCCGATACCCTTCACCCCCCCCCCCCCCGCCTCCCCTCCCTCTCTACTCGGTGCCCTAACGCCTAACCTGCGGGAAAACGTCAATGCGGGGTATAAGGCGCGACGAAGGCCATGTCTCTAACAATACCTAATCGCTGATGCGCTTGTTTCATTCGCTAATGTAACAGGTTTCTCAGACTTTCCTCGGGAAAAGTGGCGAGAACTCAGTTGTATAGTTATGATGAGGTAATACGGTAAATGGACGTAATTTTGCACAGTTATTTTGTGATTTAGAGCTATGTGAAGAGCTAGAGATAATCACGATCTTGATTGTGCAGCGTATCACAGTAGGCAAGTCCATCCATAAGTCATTTGTAACTCAGTATCTGAGTATGCACACAATGCGCGGCAACCGACGACTCCTTTAAGTAACTCCTCAGTAAAACCTCTAGCTTAATAAAGTGCAGAAATGCTTTCTACTACTTAATACAATGGTTAGTTTCCAATAAAATCAAAAGAGACAAGGGAACAAGGAAAAACCACTGGAAATAGCATGTTCTAATCTCAAAAGTCGTCAAGTAGGGCGCATGGTGTGCAATATACACATACTAAGTTACAAATGACACAACGATATTTCTATGTTCGGAACCTACCAAAAAACGCTGCAGATTGTTTTTTCCTCTACAAAACAAATAACCCCAAAAAACTTACCCTTCTCTAGCTATTGGAATTGAATATGATGTATAGGAGGTAGTTGTCGTTTGTTCGAACATACAGCGGTCCGTGTCTGTGTATTACTTGAGACTGGGATTCCGTGTTGATATGTTGGACGAGTTGTCGCGTGTTTGTGTTGTCGATTTTAGTCACTTGTCATACACCATTTGTGCCCTAAATTTGGAATGTGTGATTAGAACTGGTTGATTATCATACAGCAACGAGCAATGGGAAATATGCAATAAATGAAACTCCATACAAATATCATTCTGAAACAGCTTGTCGAGGCTACCGACTTTTTTTTTTTCAAATTTCTGTTTAGTTACAATTTATACTTCTGGCACCTATCACCAAAAAATAGCCTCAAGTTTCTTCTAGATCAAAGATCTTATCAACTGAGGAGGGGCATGAGACAAGTTGTCTGATAATCAGAGAAGATTATCTGTATCATCTTACCATTTTCATGATAAATTTGGATATAACATTGGTCAAAAGATTTCACTGTAGTAAATAGCAGAAATAAAGAGTAAGCAGAGTACTTATACGATGGCTGACTTGGACTTGGGTATTTTTTCAAATCAAAAAAGGCGGGCATTAGAATTCACACTGAAAAGATGAGTTGATGCTAGGGAAAAGAAAAGCTGCTCAAATTTTGATAAGAAAAAATAACCATAGACTCTGTTCATGAAAATCGATAGATATAAGCCACATCAGCGCTTTTTCACAAGCGAACCACGATAAAGTTCGCGCTAGTCTTATCGAAGTAAGTTCGATGTCAATTCAGAGAGAAAGCAATAAAAGCTGAAATCAGATGGGCGTTGGCCACGGCTTTGTTATAACCAAGCTAAATTTAGGTTGTTTTCGCGTAGAGCAAAATGAGCTAAAATTTCTCACGCAGCGAAAGTTAGAGAAATTTTGGCGGACTTTTTTGATAATGAAAATTAGGGTTTTTTTTATTGACAAAAAGCAAGTTGCTATGACTCTACAAGAAGGATGAGGATAGCGCTATGGCTGTAAAAAAGTAGATTGTTCGGCTTAACAGGCGTGGATGTGGAAGTCAGCTGTTCTTCGCAAAGTGGTCAGAATTTCATGAGAGAAGAAATGCCTGTTAAGGTCAATGCGACATTTGATATTGTTCAATAGTGTTGATTGAAATAAGGAAATAGTAAGGAACACATAAAGAGGAAGGGGGTAGAAAAAAAAAAGGACAAGTGTACAAAAAAGAACGGCAGAGCTTAATCTAATGAGTGAGAAAGAAAGGAAAAAGGGCGGGAAAGGAGGAAAACAATAAATATTCAAAAGCGATTTTCTACGGTATGATGAGGTGTTCAAATTACCATTTACCGGTACCACTGTGGACGAAAAACTTGCATAGAAAGCGGGAGAAGTTATGATTTGATGTTTTTTTAATATTATTTTTACTAATTTGAAATTTTCGAGTCGTGGAAGTAGTGCGCTTTGGTATCTCAAAAAGTATAAGTGGATCCATGTAACGGTCCTATTGGACTTGATTCAGGAATAATAAGTGTGTGGAAAACAAGTAAAAACATTTTTTTGCCTCATCATATAAAATTCTAAAAAAGAAACATTCGTTCGATACAATGAAAAATTTGAACTCTGCTTTGCACGAAATCAAGACACTTCATTTTCATGACTTTCAGGTAGCAAAATTAACAATTCAAAATTTTCTGAATAATTTCTTGAGTCAAAACAATTTATCAGGCAACGTTGAGAGGGAAGTGTGGTAGAATTATGGAACCAGATACTACTGTCACAAGGCAAAACAACATCGAAATAGAAAAAAACTGGATTTAAATGGACACCTTGTGCATTATCAATACAGAAAATATTACTATGCGATCAGTATTATGACCATTTGATTGATGGGAGAAAACAACTTTGGCAATTTTGAATTTTACTGAACTTGCAATTAGAGCGAGGACATAACAGAAAAGTCATTCTTGAAAAAAAATGTCTATTTTACCATCAAAGTACAATTCCCAGAAATTGCGTTTGATTTGACATTGCTTTTGATTAGTTTTTGATTTTATCAACAAAAATGCAGAAATACCAGGCAGATCTTTTTTCTTGAGCCATGAAAACATTTGATGTAAACTCTCCTCCGCGCGTCACGTTTTTACGACACTTTTTATGGTGTGTAATTGCAGAAAGCGCGATTTTTTACCGCGTTCCATTGCACTTCTCACGTGTAGCTCGCAAAAATAAACCCAAAATAATGGCAATAAACGCAAGAAATGTGTTGGGCAGTGGTAGAAATAAACCACAGCAATACGGCAGGCCACCCAGGCTGACGATAAAGTCAGCTGTGCACGGCGTTCTACCACGAATAACTGCAGAACAACACGTGAGCCCCACTGCGCCAACGAGATATATGAGGCATTGATGAGCAATGAACGAAATTTTGTAAAAATGCGGGTTTTATTTCACGTAGGAGAAGAGGTAAGGGGGGGGGGGGGGGAGGATGAAGAGGGCCATATGGGATAGAAATTTTATTGCTTGTTCCATGTAAATCAGCATGGATCCTTGTAAAAAACTACTATTATCCTAGTTTACAAGAAAACTATAGTAATGACACATTGAAAAGTATTAATGCTCACTTTGCGCGAGCAATTTATAACTTAAGTGAGCCTGCACACTTTGCGCGGCAACCGACGTTACCTTACTAGTAACTCGCCCAATTAAAGCTTTTTTAGCAGAACAAACTGTGGCAATGTGTACTATTACCCGTACATATCCAATTGAATAAAGGAGACAAGCGGACAAAAAGAAATCTCTGGGAATTACAAGGTTCTGATAATAAGTCGTCATTTAGCGCGCATGGTGTGCAATACGCTTATTTCCAAATAACTCTACGGTACATTTTCACTTTCTAGCAAATTTATTTTTCAGTAAATAAAGAAGTGAGGTACTTGTAGATAATATCATAGAAAAAACGAACAGTCCAGTAGCAAACATTGTAATACAACGAGCGGATTTTGAAAAACAGGAAAGTCCTAATTTATCATAAAAATAAGCAAACTAGTCATATTTTCAAGTAGTCATATCTTAAAGTCCTTCTTCCGTACTCGTAAAAAAAACGGGATCGCGCTCAAGGAGCTAAAAATCTGAGCCAAGGTATTTACCGACTACGGTAAAAAATTCACCTGCAAAGTATCATTCATGTCGAAAATAATTGTAAGATACTGAAAATGTATGTGTTTGTATACTTTGTCTAAACAATCTTGAGCCGGTTTTTTCTTGGTTCCAAACATGAGACAGATCATTATAAACTTGTTAAGCACACGAAGCTTGTTTTGACATGTATGCAAAACGGTTTCCATTCTCTTTGTCTCAGAGTGAATCATTTATATTTTTGCGCGTTTAGGGCCGGGCATAATTCACGCGACTTGATCGTCGCGATTCAATCGCCGCGATTTCCATTCATTTTCAATTTACATTCAAAAATTTCGGGCTGGAAAAGTATCACAGCCGAAATGCAAGCTGGTCGGCATGCAATGAACTCGTAACATTGTTTTGTCGCGATTGCATCGTGACGATAAATCGCGTGAACTCTGCCCAACGCCTTAGGGCCGGGCATACTTCCCGCGATTTCAGTCGCGACGTCCCATTTGGCAATACTACCGTACAAAACTCATTGCAAGCACATTTTAAATGTACATAAAATAGGGCATCGTCAATCCACCTCAAGTTGTACACTATGCATGTACAGTATGCTAGTGTTGGATCTGACTTCTGGCGAATTGCCAAATCGCGTCGCGACTGAAATCGCGTGCAGTATGCCCGGTCCTTTTATCTCATTCACATAGTAGACTTTGTTTGGGGATAATCTATTTATAACTTGCCTTCTCGTTTTTTTTGCACACTCAATCTTCCTTACTGATGAATCACGAAATTTTTCCATATTGCGAATATTCCCATCAAATAAGCTATGCTCTGCACCTGTCATTCACGCCTGAGGCCCCACAAATCATCAAGAGTTGCTTAGCACCCATACACAATGTAGCGTGTTCGTTGACTATTACTTTCGAGCCGATTAGCTTAGCCATACACAACTCATTTTGTATATGGAAAGCGCAAAGATCGTAGAAATGACGGTAACGTTGCATTCTAATGCATAAAACAAGATCGTGATGTGAGGAACACTTCAACGTATGCGAAAAAGAAATGAGGAGGAACACTTGAGTGGCTTTGAAGGGGCTCTTTTGCGTAAATGCGGGATCGCAACACTCTTTCAAGGGTATAGGGTAAGGCATAGTTTCAAGTAAAGTTGCTATTTTTCTAATGAATAACGAGTTTAAAAAGATGTCAAAGACTGGCAAAGACTTGGAAGTTTTGGCAATGCAGTTTATGATGTAATCGCTTAATGACTTATGGAACAGAAAAATTTTGTAATGTCGTTCTTTCCTAAGTAGACAGTTGGTATGGTTTCCTTTTGAATCATCTTAATCAAGTATTTGCTAACCAATAATATAAACAGTATCTTTTTATAGCATAGCTGTCCCGGTATGTTTTTTAAAGGGAAGGAGGGGGGGGGGGGGCGAGAGTTGGGTGAAGGAGGAATGCGACAGAAAGTTATTTTGTATGAAGAGCCGTGACTCATGCTCTCCTGGAAATTTTCTCTGGTACTTTTCATATTTTTGGCGAGCTTGAAAAATTAAAATCTTGCCCTGCCCAGATTTCTTCCACAAAATGATTTCAATGTGTTCAAATAATTTAGAATTTAGTTCAATCTTATAAGTGCTAACAAGTAACGCACAAATTTTTGTGATTCATGTGAACTCCGAAAATACATCCGTTTTGTACCTTATTTAAATCCCTTCAACATGAGACAAGTTTTTCTGATGCTTATTTTCTTCTCACTTTCGAGGCATCGTGAGTATATAAAAAGAATAAATGAATACGTCAGCAAAATTCTTCTGTTTGTTTTCATGAATGTAAAGGAAAAAATACCCTCAATACCGCCGCTTGCTGGCAACACCAAACGAAAATTGCGATGAAAAAACTAGTTATCTCGTAACTAAGTTGTGATGCGCAAACATCTACATAGTGAGAAATCGCCGAAATTCTGGTAATCGCTGCCAGAAAGAAACTAAGTGAAAACTCAACTGAAAAGAAAGGCAACATTCTAATCAAATCATCGGACTTTCAAATCGGTT